AGGCTTATGTAGTCAAAAAAGGAGAAATATACAGTAAAAAGAGATTCTAAGAGGAAAAAAACCTCTAACTGTTTTACAATGTGTTAAAAATATATGCAGGCTAAAAGTTAAGGTTCTTAAAGAAAGAGACTAGTTGGGTGTGGTAGTACACACCTTTAATCCCAATGCCTGGGAGGCAGAGACAGATCTCTGTGAGTTCAAGGTGTTGTAGCACACGCCTTTAATCCCAGCATTGGGGAAGCAGAGACTGTGGGACTCTATGAGTTCACGGACAGCCTGGTCTACAGAGTTATTCCAGGACAAAGATGTACGTTTGAGGAGCTTATCTACAAAGAATCATAACTTCCCTCTGCTCCTGGAGTTGGATGAGGAAGTTTGAGTGCAGGTGATTATTCCTTGATCCCTGCTGGGGTCAGGTGAGAGTCCCTCCTTGGCTCCCCATTTGGTGCCATGGTAAAAAGCTAGCCCCAGCAGAGCAATAAGCAAGCTGCTGTTTCTCCTCAACTTCATGCTCTATGGATTTCATTCAACCTGGACACCCTCCGCCGAGACTCATGGGTGAGATCGGAAAGGTGAGGATTGTGGACCGGGTCATCCTGTAGTCTGACCAGGATGCATTGAGGATTAAGATATAATTAAATAAGAGATACTTAAGAGATAGGAGATAATTAAAAAATAAAGAATACCCCGGGTAAATCAGAGCTAAAGAGGTTGTTGTAAGAAACAGTTGTCTGATTTTAAATCTAATGTTTTCCTTTTTAAAGAAAGGTTGCTTACACATTTTTAGAGGGCTCCAGGCTAGGAGCGGGAGAACGGGTTTCTCAGATTATATTTTGGAGCAATAGCTCAACTATACCAGATTTAAAACAATTTACTTAGGACTTAAGTTTAGACAGTTTTAAATTAAGGATTATTATAGATTCAAAGGTCCCTTAATTATACAGGATTTTAAGTTTACATTTTCTCGTAAGGGTAATAATTATTTTATTCAAAGTCTAAATTTTCATCATAAATTTGATGGACATTTACATTAAGTTCATGGATTAACTTTCAATAATATTGTCCATTTGGCTTATTTGATACTGTTTTCACGGATGAATAAAGATCTCTCCATTGTCTTATGGCTTATAACTCTTATAAGGTTTAAAGTTCTTGTTATACAGATTTTTTAATTTATATACTTAGAGTTATTCAAAAATGTTTTATAACATTTATGGCTATCTCATTTATCAGGCGTGTTAGAGAGATACATTTGGGTTGTTTTCAGATTCTATATTAATAAAGTAATTCTGCTATATACATGGTTAAACACATGTCCTTAAGACATGGTTAAACATCTTTTATATTTAGGCCCTAAAGATGTATAACTAAATTTTGAGATGGTATGTTGCCTAATTTTCTAAAATTCCAGACTGTGCCAATTTACATTTCCACCAATCGTGGAAAGGTTTCTCTTAAGTATAAACTATGAGCAATATTTGACCTTGGTCATGTCATTTAAAATAAGATAAAGTCTCAAAAGTTATTTTGATTCGCATTTCTCCTATGACTAAAGATGTCATGCTTAAGGATTTTTTAAATATCTTTCAGTCATTTTTAAGTTTGTCCATTGAGAGTTTTCAGTTTAGACTTGTTGCATATATTTTTATTTCATTAATTGTTCTTTGGAGGACTATTTCTGGAGTCCTAATGTTTTCTGTATGGATTGATGACTGACAAAGATTTCCACATCTGTAGCCAGATATGTCGATCCTATTAATTATTTCTCAAAATGTTGGCGGGAGACAATGTGCCCCCATAAAGATAACAATTTTAATAATTCTATCCAGTTATGTAAGTGCTCACATACTGGATCAGATAATTATTTTCTGCCCTTGGAAAAGTTCCAGGCAAAACTAATTCTAAAGGATGTTTTGGGGTTTGCTATGCAGCCCAATATTTAGGCCGGTTGCAATGGCACAGGCCAATGAAATTTGCTCTTTGGAGCAGAGACCTGTAGGTCTCTAAGTTCAAGACCAGCCAATGTCAATACTGGCTGAACTAAGTTTTTGTTCTGAGTATTTGTTACTCCCAATATGTAACATCGTCCAGTTCATGTATTAATTTGGGGTAGAGGAGCGGTTTATATGTTTCTACAGGATGCAAAGCAATCCATTTGGGTCCCTGAACGTCTGGTGCGGACCGTGGATTCCTCTATTCAGAAACCTGAGAACGAGGCGAGATCAAGAGATCCCACAGACACTGCAGCGGTGACGGAGATGGCAGATTCCTGAGAGATGATCCAGCGCCTGCTTTTGCCCCTTTCCCAGCTTCCTATCTTTGCTCTGCCTTGATCTGCCTGTTTAGCCAAGGCTGCTCTACCACCTGAGGGGAAGTAGCTACTTCCCCTACCCTAGATTGCAGCATTGAGTACTGCGGCAGGAACCCTGCTGGTCAGACAGAAATACCATGGACATTCGAATTAATTTAAATTCTCGATTGGATGCTTTTGTTGATCTTTACAAACTGGGTGTGGATTTTGACCTCTGCTGGTCGCTGGATAAGATTTTGCTGCTTTTCTCGGACCCCAGAATACAAAATTGCTAATTGGCTTTAATTTAGTATGGTTAGTCATTCCAGGGGTCCCATTTGCAGGTGCGGTAGCCTTACTCAAAGGGCTCTATTCAGAGCAAAACGTTTCAGACACTGTGCAAGCACAGTCTCTTCCAGGATTGCTCATGTGTATGCTGGAACATTTTCACCTGGCCAATGGCTTCAGGTCCGCCACGGCCTGGCCCTAGTAGGTATTCGCCTCGGAGTATCTTTCAGCATAAATGTGGCTGGATTCAATGTATGACTAGTGAAGCAATGATGGGTTTATTGCACGGGGGGAGGGGCGGTCTCGCCTAAGACAGGGGGTGCGTTTGGACCTGAACACATTCCCGTAGACGGGTTTAGAGATCTAACCCAACGGCCGACATGCCTAAGACAGCTGCTAGTCATCATATTTTATATATATTTAAAGGGAGACTTGTAGGTACACAGGTTCCCCATTTTTCCGAGGCGCTATGCAGGGCTG